ATATTATCATTGTCTCAGCTTATTAGTTTTTTATTTTTTTATTTTTTTTATTTTAAATTTGAATCAATTATTTTTACCATTTAAGTCCATTTAGATTAGACTAACTTAAATTGTTCATTAAAAATAATTAGAATTCACCAGATTGCTTGAGCAGCCTCATGAGGGACCTCTTCCATCCAGACGTGCAGACCTTCCAGTTAAATCCCCATCCGTGCGAGGTAGTGTGCTGCATGGTTGCCCCTACGCTTGAAAAAGTTAAAATAATATTCATTTTAATAATATGATAGGTGAGTTTAAAAAGATTGTAAAAATTGTCAGTTTGTATGATTTACTAGAATCAAAGTGAATTGAAACGAAATAATAATTCTTAATCTTCTTATAAATTGACCACTCGGGAATGATTTCATTTGTTTGTAATATATTTTTTATCATTTTTTTAACAAGTCATACATGAGTATATAAATATTTTGATAGAATGATCAATTCATTTCACTTCACTTCATTCTTTTAAGTTATGTTTGGTTTATTAGAATAAAATTAAAATAGAATTATCATTTTATCAGAATGTTAATTCTTTCATTTGATTTATTATTTTTTTTTTAAAAATACAATACAAATAAAATCATCATTTATCATTAATTCTCTGAAAATATATATATAAGTATTTCATGTTTTTTATTTTATTTTTTATTTCAATAAACCAAATGTTGCCTTGATGAATTATTCTACTTTCAATTCAACCTTCGACAATGCAAGAGCGGCCCACGTGACGTGACCTTTCTTTGAATACAATAGCGGCAGGCAGTGGATACCATCCAAAACTTTAAACGCGGCCAATGGAGAAAATAATTTGATTAAGGCCTTGAGAATATATTATTTTAATAATTTTTTGTTTTTTGATTAAAATATAAAGTAAAGCATTTATATATTTAGAATATTTTTTTGTTTTTTATAAAAAAATGTACAAAAAATAAAAATAAAATAGAATATTTAATTTTTTGATATAAGTTACAGACTTTTAAATTTTTTTTTTAGTAACTTTTTAACTTTTAAGCTAAAACTATTACTTCCCAAACGAATTTAGGCCATTACTACATTATGTTTGATGGGATTATGAGTATGTGAAATTAAGTGAGCAAATTAATAGCATGGTTGTATTAAGTTAGAGATATAGAATAAAATGTGTTTATTTATACGCTACCAAATTACTAATACTATAAATATAAAATTGATATTTTTTAATATTATAATTATTAATTTTTTAAAAAAAAACTTTTTAAGCTCACTTAATCTAAAAACGCTTCAAAATAAATTATTTCTTTTTTGTTTTGCAACTCAAGTATCAATCTCATAAGATTTTCAATCCCATGTGAATGGTGGATTGATAGTACACCCAATCTTAATCCTGCCATGGATTTTCTAACCAAACATTTCATAGGTGATCCACCTCATAGCGGTCTTTTGGAAAAAAAAAAAAGAAAAAGAAAAAAAGAAGTTAGTTTTTAGTTTTTTATCTATTTTAGATTACATTACCTCTCATATTTTTTATTCACAAAAAAACAAAATAAATTAAAAAAACTAAAAAATTAATTTTTTTACCAACTTCCCAAAGCACCACATACACGGTCCACTCCCATCACTCATGTGAACAAATAGGGCCTTACCTCTTTGAAAATTTTAAAACTTTTAATATAATTAAACCAAACACTACCATTGTTATTTCAACACTTTTAATAATTTCATTAATTTTTTTAGTATGATTAAAGTGATTAAAACTAATACTAATGATTGGTAAGTACTAAAATAAATAAAGATAAATATATATTTTAATAAAAATTATATGACAATATTATTTTCATTTATATAACTAACGAATTACTGATAAAAGGAATCTAAATATTATGTAAGTTAAAAAAAATCTTTGAAGATGTTAGTATAATTATATAAAAAATATGAAGTTGTTCGTATTTTTTTCAAACTTCAAGGAAGGTGAGTGTAATTTATAACTATTAAGAAGTAAAAAATTATGCCCTTAAATTTATTAAAGAAATTACAATTTAATAGTATTTTATAAAACAATTATAGATTCACAAAAAAAAAAATTTAGAACTTTAATTACTAATGTTTGTAAAATTTATATTGAATTAAAAATTTCCAAATTTATTTGAGGGTCTCATACCATAAAATTGGACTGGACCAATAAACTTTCACAATTGGATATCACAATTGAGAGGAGTTCAGCTCCTCTCCTTGAGGATCCTTCTCCATCCCTTGCTTGCAACGGCTCAGATGAACCGTTGGTCATCCAACGGCTCAGATTATAAAAAAAAAAAAAATCAAAAATGAATTTTTTTCAGATCCCGCCCAAACAAAACAACAACACAGCTCAGGAGGGATTCACTCTCACTCTCACATAGCACTCTCCTCCGTCGAACCCATCCTCATCCTCACTGGCGAACTCCATCCTCACCGACGGCGAACTCCACCGCTCCAGCCTCTACGCTTCGTGAACTCCACCGCGACGACCACCATTGGTTCAACAAAGATCTCTTCTTCACGAACCAGGTTGGTCTTCGAACAAAGAAATGAAGAAGTTAGGAGTCTGAAAAAATGTAGGGCTTTTAATGTTGGAATTTCTGAAAACAATTAGGGCTTATTGATTTGGAATTTGAAAATTAGGGCTTTGTTTTGGGATTTTGAATCGTCTGAAAAAATTTAGGGCTTAGGGCTTTTTAGGGCTTAAAAATTAGGGCTTTTTTAGCCCGAAATTTAGGGCTTACAAATTAGGGCTTTTTTAGCCCTAATTTTCTACAATGCTGTAATTTGCGATTCCTGTGATATCATTTGCGATTCCTAAATTTTTAGCACAATTGTTGTATCATTTCGATTGGAAACTCCCTGATGGAAAGAAGTATGAAGAACTAGACATGGAAGAGGACCTTGGTTTGATTGTAAGAAGAAATAATGATCTGATCTTGAGATTCCTTATGATCAATCCTTAAATTAAAATTTCACAAAATGAGATAAAGATGTGAGATAAAGGATGAATCCCTCAAGACTTAAATTAATTACTTCTAAATTAATCTAAGAATCAAATTATGAAGTTGTCTCAACAATGTAATGTATTGATATGCTAGAATGAATATATGTATACCTTTGTTGACCAACGCATCTGAGAACAATGAATATATGAATATATGGATCAATACATACTAGAATGAATATATGAATATATGGATCAATACAACAGAACAAGCTATTGAGATCCAAGCAATGCTCATGTATTCCTCAAGTGTTTGTCTACTTCAACTCTTTGTATCTCTGTGTATGCAGATTTAGAAATGGCTTCTTCTTCTATTGACACTAGCAACATCAGATTAAAACCGAGAATGTGCAATTGTGGAAGAACAGTTGCCATACATATTGTAAGAACCAATGAGAATGGAAATAAAAGGACGTTTGTTCTTTGTTTGCCCATCAAAATATGTAAGTGTACCTATTGGAAATATTAAATATGTAAGTAGTAACAATTTAATTTGTGTTATTCGACTAACTAATTGTCATGCATTGTAGACTGAAACTCCCAATTGCAATTACTTCAAGTTTGTGGCTGAAGATGATGAAGATGTTACGTCCACAATCCGTTCCAACACTAGAGCTTCTGATGGTGTTATAGTAGAAGACTTTAACGAGCTGAGGAGGAGGCTGTATGACGTGGAAAATGAACATGATGACTATGGTCGAAGGCTTCGAATGGTGGAAAATATTTTGAAGGCGATTGTGTATTTGATTGTATTTTCTATACTTTTGTACATTATGATGTAATGTTATTATGGAGTTAATGTTATTATGGATTTATGGATTTAATGTTATTATGGATTTATGGATTTAATGCTGTTATGGATTTAATGTTTTTGGCTTTGATGAATATATGTAATTTGGAATTTGGAAACTTGGGATCTTTGAGATGTTTGAGATGAATGGCACAGGTTGTTTGAGATGTTTGAATTTAGAAGCTATTCATGAATAGAATTTGGGAACTTGGGATGTTTGAGATGTTTGAGATGAATGGTACAGGCTGTTTGAGAAGTAGATGCACATTCGTTTATTACTGTGTCAAGTTATTATTACTTAGATGGCTTACTTTGAGATTCTCACTGAAATGATGTATGGATACCTTCAGAAGTTCCTTAAAGTATTATTCTACTTTTTGGTTTTGGCTGATGAAGTCAATTTTATTTAGTTTTTGGATACCTTCAGAAGTTCCTTTTTAGTTTGGGATTATCATATGTTGATTGACTTGTGGAAAAACATCTTGTGATTATGGAACAGGAATTGACAGGCCACCTTCATGATAGTACCATGATATGTTACATCTTTACGAATTTTATTCCTCATTTCTCACTCTCTATCTCCCTAAACATTTACTCACAAGTCACCACGTTCTCTATGTAATCAAAACACAAGAGAGCAGAATAATTGCAGAACCAAAATTCTGCTCCTCCACTGCAGTAGGTAAAACACAAGAGAACATCACTAACCCTGAAGCATGCAGAACCAGAAGCAGCGTTCTGCAATGGTTCATTTTTTTTCCTTTACACTTCACAAAACCAGAAGCATGCAGAACCAAAATACCTGTGCATACCAGCAGAATAATTGCAGAACCAGACTTGTGCATACCAGCAAAATGATTGCATAACCAGACCTGTGCATATCAGCAGAATCATACTTTCACACTTCACAAAACCATTGCAGACCCATACATGTGCATACTAGCAGAATGATCAAAATAAGGATCAAATGTACAAAAACAGAATCATCTCCATACCACATAAAAAAACCAGATCAAATGTACACCATAACAGTTTAACACATACAATCCATAACAAGTTAAATTAAAACATTGGTCCATCAAAAATGTTACATTGCTTCAACCCATTAACACATACAATCCATTAAAAAGACCAATGTATGACTTTCCAGCAGCAACAGAATAACCATCACTTTCCAGCAGCAATTTGCTTCACAATTTTAGAGGCTATGACTTCACCGTCCAGCCCAATTTCAGCATCAGTTTGCTTTTGTTTCTGCCTGGCCATAGCCTAAAAGGGAAAAAGACAAATTTCTCAGCAAGTGAATACATGGTATGATGGAATTTTCAACAACTATAAATATAATAAAAATTAAAAGATAGCAAAGACGAACCTGACTACACATTGGAGTAGTTGATTCTTGAGAATATCGAAACCCAATGTCATATCCACATGAACCTTGAAGTAGTGACTGGAATGTTGATCCACCAGAATACAGGTGAGACATTGAATTTGGCAAATAATTTGGCACTACATACATGTCCCGCAAATTGTTCGCCTACAACAATGTCATATATTAGGCTTCGCAATCATGGTTTGAGTCACATATTATATCCACAAAAAAAATACAATGTTAAAGTAAGACTTACATGATATGTGGGATACATCAATGGCGGAGGAATAGAATTACCACCCATGGGCAAAGATGGAGGAAGAGGATGAAGGGGAGGAAGAGGTTGAAGAGGAGGAACATGTTGACGAACATAGATACCTCCTCCAACAGATAATGGAGAAGGTACAACTATTGGACTTGCAATAGATTGTGACGAAGCCAAGCTGTTAGCACCGGATTTTTTTTTGGAGTTCGCTACCAACGCCGCTTCGAATCCACCTTTTACCCTCCTTTTGCCCTTACTAGTTGCCACCTTTTTCTTCAATCCTTTTGGTTGCATAACATGATTCACGTCTTCGCAATCCACTTCAAAGCTTTGGTTGTCATCATCATTACCTACTTCATTTCCAACACCAAAATGAGCACTTAACTTACCTTCAACATTTGCACCTAATGTAGCAAGCTGTGCAATACAAAAATCATAAGTTTCTTCGGTTTCGGTAGCTCTACCTGCTAGTGCTCTAAATGCGGTCATCAATGTCTTATACCGCGAGGCTTGTTGAAATTTCACATCTACTTGAATGTCATTCCCCGTAATGTCCTTCATAGTTTCGGCTCTTGCTTGTTTGGTCCACCTCTTTAGAATGTACTGTGGAGGAACCTCTTTCATCTTCAATATGTCTCTAATAACCTTCAATGAGTGACAACACAAGATTCCTTCCCTTTCAAACTTTGTACAATTACAACCCAAAGAGTCATCCCTCTCCATCTTCACTTTCCTTGCATATTTGTTACCAACATCAATAACTGTGTAAATGGTACTAGCCTCCCCATATTCAATTGCTTCTATGTCTGATTCAATGGATTGAAAGTACTCATTTTGGAATTCCTCAAAGATATTTTTTGTGTAGACATTACCCATTTGAATTAACAATCTTATTATTGCTTTCACCTTTGGTAACCTTTGGCACAAAGCATATCCTGCTTCTAACTCCTTATATCGCTTATCGTAAAGTACCCTTTCGAAATGCATGAAGAATTTATTTAAGTTAAAATCAGAACGAATGCAATCCTTCAAAAAAGCATTAAAAGATTCACTAAGTTGCGTGGTACTCATTCTCGCAGCCCATGTTGATCTAACGTAAGGCCAGCCCTATTTTTCTTTCACCGTAAAAGTCAATTTCAACCAATGGTTTTCATGCGCATCATATTTATCAAGCATTTTCGCCCACTCTAACTTCCATTGATTTGCATCTTCAATGTGAAAGAAGAATTTATTTAGTACACCCTTCACCCCCTTATCTTGGAACAAACAGTTAACATGTTTTAATGCATTTTGCATCAAATGCCAAGTACACAATCGGTGACTTGTGTCAGGCATAACGATGGGTATGGCTTTAGCCATTGTAGCATCTTGATCGGTGAACAAAGTTTTTGGTGCCTTTCTTGACGTAGCCTCTAGAAAATTTTCAAACAACCATACAAACGGTTCGGCGGTCTCATCATACATCAATGCTGCACCAAATATAACTGTTTCCCTATGATGGTTAAATCCCACAAAAGATGCGAAGGGTCTATGTTCTTGGTTTAACTTGTAAGTCGTATCAAATGTGACAATATCACCAAATTGAGCATAATCTATGATCATTTGTGCATCGGCCCAAAACATATTGGTAATTTGCTCCTCATTATCTAATTGAACAGCATAGAAGAATGAAGGATTCTGCAAAGATTTTTCTTTAAAGTATTGCAACACATTGCCTACTTCCCCATATGCTAAACTTTGTTATCTTTTGGTTCTCAAATAATTTTTAGAATCTAATTTCGTAAAACCAAGACATTGCCTTCCACCAGCTTCCCTACCCATGAGTTCAAAAGACTGGCCTAAACGAAGACCAGATTGTGCCGCTAAATCTAACTGAATTGCTTGGGTAGTTGATATCTTTCTTTGTGACGGCAACATGTGGGCACACTCGGGTGATACAAGATCATGGTTGTGTTTTTCTTTGAAATCAGTCACAATATATTTTCCAGTACCCTCATGTAATTTAATATAAACTCGAGCCTCACAACCAGTCCTAGTTTCAGCTCTAGAGTTTTTTGACAATGGGTCTCGCTTGTCAACCTTTCAAAATCCCTCCTTGTTGCAAACCAAAAGTCTATGAATAAGTTGATTAGTGAACTTGTCCTTCCTACAATAATCGCTTCTTATGTTAAACCCCATTCTTCCTCCATATGTATTATAAAAATCATACGCACATTGTTCAGAATCAAATATCATTCCCTGTTTTGGCTTCCAATCACAGTCATTCTCAGGTTCTATATCCATATCAAAATGCAACCGAAAACCCATATAAATAAAATCTTAAGTTAATGATAGTTGAGCTTCTTAATAAGATTGCAGGGTTGCTTAGGTTGTAGTGCTATGAAAATGAATTGAAATTGGTTTATAGATAAAATTTATCTGGTTTATAGATAGAACCATATGTCATATAAGGAAAATTACTGGAATTAAGGAAATTGAATTATTAAAAACCAGATTAAATTAATATAGATAGATATTGCTTCACTCAATTATTCATGAGATTCAATATAACACATCTAGACACCAGTTAATAATTACATGACCCATGAGACTGCCATGTCTACAAAAACCAGGAGACATACTGTGATAAGGCCCATAACATTACCCTGTTATGGCAAAACGGAGATAATTTACGAGCCTTTTAACAAAACATCACAATAACAATCAGATGAGCAACAAAAGAGGTAAAACACACCAACTACATAAATTTGTATAAAGAACAGCTTAGAGGAAACAAACAACATACAACCCCTTTTTCAGCAGCAAAAAAATCACAGTCCACCAAACCACAGTGACTTATTCAGCCAATATATAAATGAAACGATAATCATCCAACCCAGATCAACTTAACTTCATGCAGACAATTAGAACAGAAAATCATATGGCAACACACAGCAACAGTGAATTCCAGCAAGCACCAGTTGCTTATTCATCAGATAGAAAAGGGAATTGACTAGTGACCAAATACCCACTTCCCAGTTCTTGTGAAATCCAAATTCCAGAACCTAAAAACAAATCTTTATAAGCCAAACAATAAATTCTTGATAATATTGATTACAAAGACAGCACAATATTCACATAATTCCAATTTTCATGCGATTGTTTAGAGAATGAATTCAGGGTTTTTCTTGGGGTTTAGTGATTTGTTTGTGGGTTATGAAAAACGATCAAATGGAAACAATTTCAAACTCAAAATGAAAACTCGTATTCGATTTCTGACCTTAGTGTCGACTGTAATTTGTAAAGAGCATCAGTCGAAAGCCTTGGCGGCAGAAGACGTCTTAGGTTCTGAGGAGTTTGCCGTTCGCCGTCAGTGAGGATGGGTTCGCCGGTGAGGATGAGAATGGGTTCGCCGGTGAGAGTACTGTGTGAGAGTGAGAGTGAGAGTGAATCTCTGAGCTATGTTGTTGTTTTGTTTGGGCGGGAAGTCGAAAACATTTCCTTTTTTAATTTTTTTTTTTTTTTTTTATAATCTCAGCCGTTGGATGATCAACGGCTCATCTAAGCCATTGCAAGCAGGGAATGGAGGACCCTCCTCAAGGAGAAGATCCGGACTCAATTGAGAGAGATAGGTATACCATGCATTGAATGAGCGTGGATAAATTTTAAGCTAAGTGTGAGTATCGACCACACATTAAAGATGAGTTAAAAGGGTTAAGTTTGAATTCTCTCACGTGACTATTTGCCTGTTTGTCTCTTTGTCATTCTAGTGGTCTCTCCAAAAATAGACTCAACAGTCCATGTTTCAAAACCTCTCCTATTCAAAGTCAAACATGGACCATCACCCAACCAGGGACAAAGACATGACAAAATTACTCAATTCAATTGCATTTATTTAACTTTATTTTAATATAAAAAATTGGGATAATATTGATAGAATGGGATAAAGTCCAACACTCCATTTGGATCATGAGGCAGGGTGAGGAAAAAAAATTTTATGATTTCTCACTTAGGTGAGAAAAGAAAATAAATGATTATAATTATTTTTAGATGAATAAAATAGAAAAGAATGTGATTTCTCATCTATATTGTTTGGATAGAATAAATAAGAAAAAAAAAGAAAGGAAAGTTTTGTGTTTCATTTTATCAAAATAACCTTTCATATTAATAAGCTATATTTTTCATTAGGATAATTTTCGTATTTTAGAAAATTTTCATTAAATCCAATTCCTTTCTCACAAAAATATCTCTACTTTTGATAGGAACAAAATATAAGTTGGGTGGGAATTTTTTTCTCACCATCTCTCATTATAAGTGTAGGGGCTTTTTTCTTCTCACCAAACCCCTCTATCCAAACGGAATGTAATAGTGTCTAAGTCAAAACTATTGAGGTTAAGATAAATTATAAAATTATATTGCTAAAATAATTTTTAAATCACAAAAATTCGTCCGCAAAACTCGACTTGTTGAGAGATCCATCACTAGGGTTGCAATCCGAGTGGGTTTGATTAGCTTAAGGGGTTATTCAAGTTCAACATGAATTGTGCTAAAAATTATCTAAACTTATCTAAGGCTGACTCCTGAACCTAGCTTGTTTGCTCCTGCCCATAAATTGAACTAGAGCTTGAAACAAATTGCAATTTCAGTTGAGTTTTTTTTTTTTTTTTTTTTTTTTTTTTTTTTTTTTTTTGTTGTTTTTTTAAAATTTTTTTTTGTTTTTATAAGAAAAATGGTAATGGACTATCTTTAGTGAAAAAATTATGAAAAATATATTGAAATCCTCTTTATTTTTATGTTTCTCTACATCTTTAACATTATCATTTTTAAAGTTGGACCTTATTAACATTTTTTTGACAAAAAAGACAAAATCATAATAACATAAAAACGAACAACTTGCATCAATAACATAACAGTGTGTGACATAATATATATATATATATATAATTTGAGCTTTAAGTAATTCAAATAGCTTAGTATATTGCTTAGACCCAATATCAATCACAATTTAATACAAACTTTTAAATTAAATTTGTACCAAATTAAAAATCAAGTTGCCCAACTATATCCTAAAAAATATTACATTGAACTCAAAATTTTCAAGTTGGGCCCATCGGAGTTGCAATCCTATATGCAACTATGTTCTGTAAGTTTATTAGCCATGTGGTGTGTTCCCCTTAGCTCACTTGGGACATTGGAGAGTTCTCCAATATGTATCCTTTGACTTTCAACGCACTGCAAAAGAGTAACGGTAGGAACTCCAAATATTTTATCAAATTTTTATCAAATATCTCGCATGAGTGTAAGACCCACATGAAACTTACATGGTGTGTATTCCACACTCATATAAGATATTTGCTAAAAATATTAGTAAAACATTTAAATTCTCTATCATTTTTCCACCACAAAATGTTTATTCAATTGCAATGCATTAATGGGAATAACATTTGAACCCGCGATGGCCCATTAAAAGGGACTGCATTCTTGTCCAATTGCCATGTGATCAAAACACTCCTTTGCTTCCCCTCTAACTTATAAGGTCTTGTTTGAATCTTGAAACTACATAATTTAATTTTGGTGATGAAACTATTGAATTGACATAACATGGTGTATTGTAGGACTTGGTTCAAAGCAAGTTGGAGTACTCGGTCGGGGAATGAAAACTTGACATGCGACCGGTTTTAAATAAGTAGATCAGGTTAGTGTTAAGATAATTGATATGTTTAATTAAATGAGTTGTGTCGGTATTGAGAACCTTTAAACATAAACTCACAATGACACATGACGTGAAAACGACACAACGGAATATAATTCCCAACCGTATGCTGCTTTTTGAAACAAGAAAAACACCTTTCGGCTGAATGAAGCCAAACATAACCTTAATTCAAGTAACAGCAGCAGGGAAGCACATGTTATGTTGTTGTCAGCTGAGACTTTGTGCAAACAAACATGTTTCGAGTGTGGAAAATTTAATATGGTTTTCATGCAGCATCTTGCTGGTTCGGCCCCATTAATCATGCATGCGACATTAATCATGCATGTGACATGGTGTCCCATGTAACGAGTGCCGACGTAATGTACTTTTTACTAATTAATTGAATTGCATATTTTTTATGCTATTTCTTAAAAGAAAAATTTATTGTTTATTTTTTTAGTTGTCGATCATATAATTATTGAAATCCAATTAATATGATTTTTGATAGGCATAAAGTAATCAACAAATTCTACAAAATGAACGATTTATACTATTGTGCCTCAATTCCTTAATATTTTTAAGTCAAGTAAAAAGTAACTTTTAAAGTTCTACTTTATCACAAAATAATCTCTGAATAGAATAATAGTCCACTATGTCAACTATATCATTATAACAAGACACATCCGTTAATATAACCACTTCACCTTTTATTTTTCAAATAAAATGATTATGTGACCGCTTGATGCCTATTATTTAGGTAAGTACACAATATCCACACAACATGACATCCATTACATCAAATACTTTCTCCAAGAGCTACATAACCACTAAAGTCTTTTATTTTCAAATAAGATGACTATGTGACCACTTACTGCTTGTTATTAGGTAGGTACACTATATCCACATAACAGGCCGGGTCTACTAGATAACTTCTTCAAATTGAGGCTAACCAACATATATATGTTCTTAAACAGGTTAAGCATCAAATTTCACAAGTAAATCTCAAGAGGGTGGGAATGTTTGGTATGGTTTGCTTTTTTTGTTGGGAAAATGAGGGATACTGTCTTGGTCACAAGTCTACAAGATTAAACCCTACTTAAAAGTAGTTCATAGTTCAAAGTACTTTATAGTTGAGGTTTCTGAATTTTTGAAGGTTTAAGAGTGTAGGCTAAGAGAGCTTCTAGTTCCGCACAACAAAAATGCTTAGTTAATAAACTACCATTGAACAAATCTGACATTCTGGTGGATGATAGCCGGTGTTTTTGGGAGTGGTTGTGGACTATAGGGGAAGGGCTAGAGTGGTAGGCGAAAGGTGACGAAGGTGGTAATGGCGGCAGGAGAAGGTGGGGGAGGAGGTCGGTGGCAGCAGCAGGTGAGTAGCCGACATTGGTTAAAGGTAGGATTAGGATTAGAAAGTCGAAAACCATTGCATGAACTTTTCCACTCGGGAAAGAAGGTGTTTGTATCATCTCTTTCCACAAATACTTGAAGAGGTTAAAAGGGATAAGAGGGTGGGATTGGACTATTAGTCCCACCGAACTAATAGTCCATTGTTTGTTTGAAAAATTTTGCTCCGAACTAATAGTCCCCCCGACTATTAGTCCCACAAACATGGGCTATCCTATCCCATGGGGGGGTGTGGGGTAAAAACCATGGAATTGGTATTCCATAAGATTATTTTGTGAAATGTCCATTTTACCCTCTATACTATTACATAGTGAACAATTAGAAAAGGGTAAAATAGTCTTTTGAACATTTATAAATTATTTTTTTAGTGTTGTTAATTTAAAACTATATATTAAATAGCCTATTATTTAGGTAAGTACACAATATCCACACAACATGACACATCCATTACATCAAATACTTTCTCCAAGAGCTACATAACCACTAAAGTCTTTTATTTTCAAATAAGATGACTATGTGACCACTTACTGCTTGTTATTAGGTAGGTACACTATATCCACATAATAGGCCGGGTCTACTAGATAACTTCTTCAAATTGAGGCTAACCAACATATATATGTTCTTAAACAGGTTAAGCATCAAATTTCACAAGTAAATCTCAAGAGGGTGGGAATGTTTGGTATGGTTTGCTTTTTTTGTTGGGAAAATGAGGGATACTGTCTCGGTCACAAGTCTACAAGCTTAAACCCTACTTAAAAGTAGTTCATAGTTCAAAGTACTTTATAGTTGAGGTTTCTGAATTTTTGAAGTTTTAAGAGTGTAGGCTAAGAGAGCTTCTAGTTCCACACAACAAAAATGCTTAGTTAATAAACTACCATTGAACAAATCTGACATTCTGGTGGATGATAGCTGGTGTTTTTGGGAGTGGTTGTGGACTATAGGGGAAGGGCTAGAGTGGTAGGCGAAAGGTGAAGAAGGTGGTAATGGCGGCAGGAGAAGGTGGGGGAGGAGGTCGGTGGCAGCAGCAGGTGAGTAGCCGACAGTGGTTAAAGGTAGGATTAGGATTAGAAAGTCAAAAACCATTGCATGACCTTTTCCACTTGGGAAAGAAGGTGTTTGTATCATCTCTTTCCACAAATACTTGAAGAGGTTAAAACACAAAGTGATTACAATGGGAATCACAGATATCACTCCCGTTGGATTGGATATCTAGTTTAAATTCTAAGAGAAATGCTCTAGGATTCACAATGGGGTCCATAGTTATGCCCAGTTTCTCTAAATGGCATTTAGCATCCCCTTTCACCGATGCATGATGATTGCTAAATGGCTTTTACAATGACCTTTTCATAATTTACAATGGCAGTGAGCTGACGCAAAAAAATATTTTCTTCAGTAGTGTGGACCTCCTGTCAAACGGGAGACACAGAATGGAGGCCAAAATAGTACATGTTGCACTTGTCATGACAGACATGAAGATGGATTTAAGTTCAGTTTGTGGATTAGGTTCACCGAATTCAAGTGCAGAAATAGCTAACAAGGCTCATAAGATAAAAATTTAATTCTTACATGAGAAGTACGAATTTTTACACAGGCATATGTCTATCTGCCTCTGAGGATATGCCGGAGAAGGCTGGTTAGGAAAATTTACACAAACCCTGCAAAGAATGTCAAAGCTTATAAGCACTCGGACAATACTTGTACTCTTAATTGAAGAACAAAACCAAATGATAATGGTACAAGAGGATTATGCAGGCAGCTGCTTGTGTTTGTACATTGCTCTTCTTGGGCAGCATTTCATTTGTTGGATTATGGAAAGCATCTCATTCTCTGTTTAAATGACACTGGATGAATCAATACGGAAGTGAAATAACCATAATGCTATGATGATCATATTTTATTTACTATTTCATGTGTCATCATTGTATTAGTAACATACGTAAGTGGTGGGACCCTATTAAACCAATAGGGTGATGATACGTGAGATGATAAAAAATGTGGTTGTCATTGGGTTATTGGTGAAACAATATGACATTGGTTTGAATGATGTCAAACTTGAAACAACAAATACCTGTCTTTCAACTTCAACTGCAGATGCAGCAAGTCTTCTTTTCAAAACTGATTTCTCCTGCTCACAAGTTTCTAACTTGGTATCTGGCAGCAAAACAATTAAAGCAAGGATTTAGAAAAGTGATCTCTGTATGTGCGCAAGTGCATGTGCGTGTGCGTGTGTGTGTGTGTAACACCCATTTCTTATCCCTCTTCTCAGCTTCTCCACCAACCTGCACGGCTCAACCGAAACCCCATCCCCCTCCCTCCCCCACTGTAACTCCCCCTCCATTGAAAATTATGTTCATTTTTGTGATGGGAGTGTAGTAAGACATCTTCAATTTCCAACCAGCCCAACCTGCTGCCTATATATAAACATTATGAAAATTGAACCAAAGACCTCTCAGTACCAAAGTTTTAACACCATGTTAGGGACCACTGCAGTTAAAATTAAGCTCTAAGGCATTGGACTTACAGTCTATATGAAGGTTCCACAAGACCAAAGACAAACAATCTTTGTATAAATAAACTCATGTAGCTGCCCCGTAAAATTAAGTGAACAATAAAAAAATCCAAGAATATAACAAAGCAATTTCTTAGGTACCAACGAAGTCGGAGCACTTGTAATGAGGACCAAACCCAATCGGTTCCAAAGCAATTTCTTATGACTGATACAACTCATATAACAAATTAAGAAATAACAGGATAGATTTCACAACTGAGATGATAATCTGATCAAATCATTTTCAAATTAAGGAGATCATTTGTATGGAGCAATTAAGCAATAACGAAGCAGGCAATATGCATTTACAGAATGCTATGTGTTAAAAGTGACTTATGTAATGCCAAAGGTATACAACTAATGTCATGTTGTTTCATTCTATATGACGATATTAAGAATATAAAACTGCATAGTACTAGAAAACAGTGTGGCTATTCGATTCTCACCATAATAGTACGTGGACAAAATGGTGATGCGCTCAGTTGGCTGAAATAAAACAATAATAAGTTTAGTGCAGAAAATGGTGTGATCAAACCAAAAATCCTAGATAATAATTTATAAATATCGGAACTTAGAGCACAATGAGATATCAGAAGTATAGGTTGCTCTCAAAGAAAACTCAACTAAAACAAGAACAGGCTATATAGTAGGCTACACAAGGGAGCATAAAAAGATGAAATAACAGTCACAGATGTTGGGTTAGAATCCAATCCATTTTACTGCAAACAGCAAATCTAAATTCTAATCAAACCTGTCCAGGTAAGAAAAACCATGGATCTAGGATCAGATGATTACACTGTAAATTATATAAAAAAAAATGAAAAAAACAACACCCAAAGGGGTGTTAGGCTCCTTGGTAGAACACAAGAAGTGCAGGCCTCCAGTTCCACATGAATCTGACATGCATCTCAACATAATGCAGGACGTAAGAGCAAATATAGTTTGTTTTTGACTCCTTCATATAGTTTGTTTTTGACTCCTTTGTGGTATTAGTTTTGCTCAGTATAGTACTGTTATAGATTGTATCCTGTGATATGGAGGAAGATCAAGAATAGAGTACAGCCAATGTCAATGAGGTACAAGTTTTAAGATATAAGCAAAAATGAAAGGATTACTCAGAATTATCCCTCCTCATTCTTCATAATGTAGTCTCAATTCAAGGACATAATCCTAACTTCTCTTTTCTAGTGACACAAACCAACCAAAATCAGTTGAGACTGGAAGAATTGAAAGAGTTTTAGAGGATACCATTACAAAGATGCCCTCACGACGAGTAGGGAGTTGCTCAAGCTTTCTCAAAGTCTCATCACCTTTGGTAACTTTCCCAAATATTGCATACTGAAGAGGGTTGTGCCAGCAAGTCATTATAAATCATGTTAGTTGAGATTCTGAAATAGTCGTTTGCAATGATGCTTAGGAATAGAAACAAGCAAACCTGTCCATCAAGGTGAGGTGCATCTCCTAGAAGCATTGAAAATGAGGATGCTGCACTGTTTGGATCAGCATACCTAGAGGAAAGAAGAATAGCCAATGATATGAACATATTAAACCGTGATACTACCGGATGAACTAAGAAACCAAGAATTTATGATGGCTTGATTAAGTTAGAACGCAGATGAGTGGCAGAGGGTTGCTGAATATCCTAAAACAATTATGAAAGAAGATGCACAATCACAAAAGCAATTTTGAATCTTTCTTTTTTTCATTTCAGTACATTACTTTTTTTTCACCCCCTGATAAGTAACTTTTTCAGTACATTGCATCGCTGATTTTTTATTTTAATCATGCCATTGGATGTATAGTCTTTTCTCATGGCTTAAGTCAAATTGAACGTGTTCCAAGATTTTTCACAATTCTCCAAGTATGTCCCATTACAACTTAGATGAGTTTAAAGATCAAAATTTGATAATGGTGATAGCCTGAAGCACAAGGGCCAAAACTTGCTATGTGACGGTATATTTTCGTTATGCATTTCTTTTCCTGTATAAAGAAAGTTTGTTACCACTTGAAGTGAATAATATTCGAACTGAGTAATGATAGTTAATCAAAATAATATAAGAATCAAACTAGAATCAAATTGAGTGTCCTTTATCTTTTCCGAATGCATATAATTGCATTGGAAAACAGTGGACAAAAGCTAGCAATTTGACAATGTCCAAAACAACCACACAAATGATCTCAAGAAAGACTTTACCTTCCCATGGAAAGAATCCCTCTTACATGTTTGACATCACTAAACTCACCAACAACTGTTTTGTCAGCTTCCACCTTTTGCTCTTCATTCATGGGAACTGTTCTTCCCCCGACAACATCTGCCACTTGGGCAACGAAACCCTTATCAACCTGCACCAATGTAATAATTTGTCACCCAAATTGTGTGTCACAACCCTTGAATTATAAATTTACAAGACACAGCTTGCATTCAGGTCAAAGTTATTACCCTGAAGAAATGATTGGTGTTATAACATCCCAAACGAACAAGTTTGAAGATGTGTTCAACAGTTTGGGGTGCCACAGTCGGATAGAAACCAAATTCAATATCTCCGTAGTTTGTCTGCATCCAAAATACATCACACCATTTAAAAAAGGCTAATTAACAAGAAGGGTTAATTTTACTTTTACCCCCTAAAATATTGCCATTTTTTTTTTCAATTTCATCCTTAAACTAATAATTTCATCTATTTAGTTCCTAAATATCTAGTTTCAGCTAATATGGTCTATTTGGGGACAACTATCCAAATCAGCAACTGTTAAAGCGGAATTTGGATAAAAATTTAATGTCAAAATTTGAATAATTTTTTTATTCACAATTTTGAAATGAGGAGTAGAGAAGAGGATGGGTGTTTGGTTGTAGGGTTTAAACTGTGTAATATATAGTGCGAGGGCCAATTGGGTTAGGTTGATTTGGACAGACTATCTCCAATCATATAAGAACCGAAATTACAAATTTAGAGAATAAATAGATGAAATTGATAGTTGAGTGATGAAATAGAAAAATGACAGTATTTATTAGGGAATATAATTGAAATTAACCCTAACAATAAAACATTAATTGACATATAAGAATCACTTTAAATTGATACAAATTCATAAACAATTCAACCCCAACCATTGCAAGAAACAGCTTATTGTATCCAAATAAGAAATTTTTTTGATTTGAACCCAGAGAAATTCTTTGAGAAGTCCAAAATTTCTCTAGAGATAATTTCTCTGAAATTGAAATTTTCTCTGATTTGAACCAAAAGAAATTCTTTGGGAAATTCAGAATTTCTCTAGGATTGAAATTTTTTTGATTTGAACCCAGAGAAATTCTTTGAGAAGTCCAAAATTTCTCTAGAGATAATTTCTCTGAAATTGAAATTTTCTCTGATTTGAACCAAAAGAAATTCTTTGGGAAATTCAGAATTTCTCTAGGATTGAAATTTTTTTGATTTGAACCCAGAGAAATTCTTTGAGAAGTCCAAAATTTCTCTAGAGATAATTTCTCTGAAATTGAAATTTTCTCTGATTTGAACCAAAAGAAATTCTTTGGGAAATTCAGAATTTCTCTAGGATTGAAATTTTTTTGATTTGAACCCAGAGAAATTCTTTGAGAAGTCCAAAATTTCTCTAGAGATAATTTCTCTGAAATTGAAATTTTCTCTGATTTGAACCAAAAGAAATTCTTTGGGAAATTCAGAATTTCTCTAGGATTGAAATTTTTTTGATTTGAACCCAGAGAAATTCTTTGAGAAGTCCAAAATTTCTCTAGAGATAATTTCTCTGAAATTGAAATTTTCTCTGATTTGAACCAAAAGAAATTCTTTGGGAAATTCAGAATTTCTCTAGGATTGAAATTTTTTTGATTTGAACCCAGAGAAATTCTTTGAGAAGTCCAAAATTTCTCTAGAGATAATTTCTCTGAAATTGAAATTTTCTCTGATTTGAACCAAAAGAAATTCTTTGGGAAATTCAGAATTTCTCTAGGATTGAAATTTTTTTGATTTGAACCCAGAGAAATTCTTTGAGAAGTCCAAAATTTCTCTAGAGATAATTTCTCTGAAATTGAAATTTTCTCTGATTTGAACCAAAAGAAATTCTTTGGGAAATTCAGAATTTCTCTAGGATTGAAATTTTTTTGATTTGAACCCAGAGAAATTCTTTGAGAAGTCCAAAATTTCTCTAGAGATAATTTCTCTGAAATTGAAATTTTCTCTGATTTGAACCAAAAGAAATTCTTTGGGAAATTCAGAATTTCTCTAGGATTGAAATTTTTTTGATTTGAACCCAGAGAAATTCTTTGAGAAGTCCAAAATTTCTCTAGAGATAATTTCTCTGAAATTGAAATTTTCTCTGATTTGAACCAAAAGAAATTCTTTGGGAAATTCAGAATTTCTCTAGGATTGAAATTTTTTTGATTTGAACCCAGAGAAATTCTTTGAGAAGTCCAAAATTTCTCTAGAGATAATTTCTCTGAAATTGAAATTTTCTCTGATTTGAACCAAAAGAAATTCTTTGGGAAATTCAGAATTTCTCTAGGATTGAAATTTTTTTGATTTGAACCCAGAGAAATTCTTTGAGAAGTCCAAAATTTCTCTAGAGATAATTTCTCTGAAATTGAAATTTTCTCTGATTTGAACCAAAAGAAATTCTTTGGGAAATTCAGAATTTCTCTAGGATTGAAATTTTTTTGATTTGAACCCAGAGAAATTCTTTGAGAAGTCCAAAATTTCTCTAGAGATAATTTCTCTGAAATTGAAATTTTCTCTGATTTGAACCAAAAGAAATTCTTTGGGAAATTCAGAATTTCTCTAGGATTGAAATTTCTCTGGATCGATATTGAGGAACCTTAGACATTATCAAAATATTAACCATCCTTTATGTTATAAAATCTTAATACTAGTGACTCTAAAAAAAGATCTCCTAAAAATATTTGTATGCATATAATTCGTTGTATTTTTTTGACCTTGTAATTTATTATATATATATATTTTTAGAGGGGGTGTAATTCATTATATTTAAAAATAATAAATTTCATTGTCAGAATGGGCCGGGCTGGGCTCTACAAGGAGATGGTCTGTCGTTTTATTTCAATTGAGGTGTCAAGTCTGGTCCATCTTACAGAAGTTCAATCCAATGCAGTAGTAATGGTCGTTGTTGGGATAATCCAAAATCTATTTCAAAGTTCAAAGCAATTGCTCCTTTTCAAGTGCCATTTTGAAGGGAATTGATATTTGTTAGGGAAACTGGATGGATTTCACTAGGTGGATTTACAAAAATAAATTTTATGTGTACATATAAAATTTATCATATTTATAAATAATAAAAAATGTTATATAGTAAAACAAACTTGAAGGTGTCTAATAAAGTACTCTCAGTAACATGTTTCATTGAATTGATGTTATCTAAGACAAATGAAATTGTGGAGACATAATTTTTGAATGACAACACGTGGCGGAGGTGTCACCGAAGTGCCAGTTGAGGTGTCACGTGTCCTGGTCATGATGCCGAGATAATCTCGGTTAGGTCGAAGTTATCAACGAGAATACCGGAATCCGAGATAAGCGGATAAAGAACAAGAGTCCTAGAATGGGAAGAGATTTCAGTTTGGGTAAAGATGAGACTCTTAGAGAGCTTATCCTGATCCTATTAGGAGTCCAAGATTAGTAGTAATCCTGAGTCTATTGGAGTTAGGCTTCCATTGGGACTAGGATTGAGTTGGCTATAAAAGAGAGGCACCCCATAGGTCTAAGGTATGTCTTTTCATGCTGAAGCTAGTGAGTTTAGCACTATTGATTATCTTTGAGAGATATTGAGTACTGACTTGATCGTCGGAGTACCCCCGGGTGGCGAACCACCATCGAAGTCTTCTCTTTCTGGTGCAGGTTAGTCAGGTGCTATCTATTCTGTCGGTGCTCTCCAGCTGAATACTAAGATTGCAGTGTGGTCAGATTTCACCCATATAATTTGGCGCCGTCTGTGGGAATACTGCCCGTTTAGTAATTAGCTAGAGAGCACTGGCAAAATAGATAGCTTCAGTTAACTTGTAACAGAAAGAAAAGGCTCCGGCGGTGGCTCTTCCACCCGGGGGCACTCCGACGATCAAGTCAGTATATCTCTCAAAGATAATCAAGTGCTAAACTCACTGCTCAAAGCATAAATTGCGTACCTTAGACCCACGGGGGTGCGTCTTTTTTATAGTTATCTTAATCCTAGTCCTACTAGAAGCCTGACTCCTGTGGACTCCAATTCAGTACTTACCTTGGACTCTTCAAGAGATAAAGATAAACTCTCCAAGAGCTTTATCCTTATCTTGGCTAAATATTCTCTTTACTCTAGGACTCTTGTCCCTTATCCGTTTATCTCGGATACCGATATCTTCGGAGATAACCTCGGCAACGCCGAGATAACCTCGGCATAATGACCAGGACACGTGGCACCTCGGTTGACACATCGGCGCCACCTTGCCACGTGTTGGTACTCAGAAATATATCTCCACAACTGCCCCCTAGGTTCTATTACCTCGGCGTTCTGAGGTGATGGAACCTATATCAGTACTTTCTCCTGTATATCAGCTCAAGAACTCCTCAGCCGATATCATTTTATGGCCAACATGTTTTCTTCAACAAAACAAGAATTCCAGTGAATTTTTTCACGTGTGTGAGCTGTCACGTATCATTTACTCAACCGTTTCATTCATGCGTCTCCACCTTATTGGACCGTGTTCATGACGCGCTTGCAAGCTGTCTCTCTCCTACGTGCGCCGTCTGACGTATACGTTCTTCTAGGCGTATTGATTATTTTTTGCCGCCGTTTTTATTTTTGACAAAACCTTTCCCCCTTTCTTCATTTTTCCACTTTTGCATTTGATTTCTCTTCGCTTTTTCTCTCTCTAGCTCCTGGATACGCCATTATTTCAGTCTTCAAGCTCTACAACTGCCTTCCTTTCTCCCTTCATGTGAAGCTTTCGTCGTTCTCATTGCACCCGTTACTGTCGTCTAATTTCGGCAATCTTCATACCGGCTTCACTTTTTTCTGGTAAGCCACTGTTCCTTTTGTTTTCAATTCTGTTGATATTCTTCATTTCTTGTTGCCATTATTGTTTCAAATCTTGCGAATCACATATCTGATCATATATATTCAAATGGTTTTGATTTTGCCCATATCTTGAATACATACTGTTCACAACTTTCTTGCACTTTTGCCACTGTTCTTGGCCTTGTACCATTGCATACACTCTGTCACAGTGTTCTTGATGATTCACCACTATTTTTGGCTCTAAATTTTCTCTTCTTTTCTTTTCTTGTTGTATTTCCAGATTCTTGTCCTCGTTTCTATTTTCTGCATAGTCCTAGAACCACGTCCCTTCTTAGAATAGATGTCGAGATAACAGTAGAGAAGCTTCCCCAACTGACTGCCGAGACTGAACTACCGTCAATCGTCGAAGCAGATCAGTCCGACGTTCTTGCTTTAGTCCCTAGTTCTTAGGGTCTTCATTCTTGTACTTTTGTTGTCTTTGCATATGTAACTTCTTTGCTTCTGAACAATGTCTGTTGTTCGCTGATGCGCCACTACTTTGTATTTGAATAAGAAATCACTTTACTAGGTCGAAGTGCT